TCCATGTGTGAGACATCGTTTTCCAGTTACTGTTACCTTAATATCTGTAGCACGGAAATGCTTCGACAGACATAATTATCCTTTGAAAAATCATATTCAGATATGGCGAAATTTTCTAGCCACACTGCTCGTATCGCAGGATCTTATGGTATTCTACAAATAAACACAGAGCTAGTGTCAGTATCAAAATACAAACATAATAAATTAACAAATAAAATACTTAGGACACCTTACACCCTTGTAAGAACGCCCATGGAAACAATGTCAAACTTACTTGTGAAAAGAAGTAGCACATATTTGGCTCTTTTCCTGTAATTGTCGGCATATTATACGCCGCTTTGGCATTTTTATTGAAATTAGATAAAAAAACAGTTTAAAAAGACACAAAACACTGAACTCGGCTAATATCTATTTCACAACAATAGACTGTAATAATGGCGTCCCCTTTAGAACCGTTTACTACCAGGCAATGATGCCACTTACGGCGTTTGTATTGCTAGGAATTTCAATAATGTATTTTTTTTCAGATATTCAAAATCTATAATTATAAAACAAGTTGCAAGAAAATAGTGTCGTAGTCTTATGCATATTACAATGTAACTAATTTGTAAGTCGAGGTCAAGAATGAGGTAGATCCTTGTACGATAATCAATTAAAATGACCGCTGTACCTAGCTATAAAGATAAAAATGTAACATTGGCATCAATGTCAAGGACATCACAAAGTACCAATGTTTGTAAATACACATATGTCAACACTTCACTATCGAATGTAAATAAAGGCGTCCCCTTTATTTATTAGTCTGAGATTTTTACTCAAATTATTCAATTTTTTAAACATTCATGACACATTTCTTTGGGTGTGGTAAATAATAATTTCTATGGTATTTTGCAATCCGCCATTTCGGATTTAAGAATTTTCGAATTAAAACCTTATCTTCGTGATTGCAACTTTGAAAACCACAATACGTTTCAGCCATAAACTTCAAGTTTTGAATGCTTTTCCGATTTTTACATCCGATATTTTTTATTTAGGAATTCAGACTTCAGATTCGTAATCAGCGACCCTTAAAACCCGCGGTAACAAAATTCAGGCAAAAATATTGAGTATATAAATTTGTGACTTAAAGGGGTAAGTGGCACCCTGGTCTGTACTAGTTTCCAACCTTTTGAAGGATAAGTTATATTATATTTTGTTCATTTATATATTTACTAATATAAAATACAAGGCTATGGTTTTTGTCATTGTTTTGCACTAACATTTGCTACTTTTGATCTTAGATGTGGAATTAACCTCCTCGAAGGGGAGGGTGTTGATTTAATTTTTATATATTTCTTTCCAATGCTCAAAATATTATTTTAAAATGTTTTTTAAAAGTATTTGCAAATTGTTGCTTTTCATTACAAAGCTTTACCTTATCCTCACTCTTTCACTATACTTTTGGGGATATTTTAGCGTTTTACTAAAAAATTTCCTGGTAGAGCAGTTTTTGGGCTGCGGATACGGATTCAACATTTATACAGACTGTTACAAATTAACTTCTCACTACAGGGATCTCGGAAACGGTAAGAGGTACAAAGTAGCTTAAATGGGGGCAAAGTTGCGTAATCAGGGGCCCAACATTATGCCTCTAAAAAATCAAGGCTAACATGATTAGTTTTTGAAATATTTGAAAAAAAAACAAAATTTTGGAAATTTGTTTCTGTTTCATTTCAGCTTTGTTTGAGGTAATATTGAAAAAGAAGAACACTTTCTCATGGCCACTTTCGAATGGCACAATCAATTTTTGTATGTAACGTTTTGTTTCTTCAGGACCATCATCAACTTAATTTTTTTAAATACGACCATAGAAATTTTATTATATTTTTTGCTAGCCTTCATGATCCCCAATCTGCTGCAACCTGAACCAGATTCAGACGTTTTGTCTCAAAAAATTCATCTTCAGTGTATTTGTTTCAAATTTATCTAAATTTTTTATTTAGATTTCTTTGTTTATTGAATTATCGTACACTGTAAGTGTGAAATCCATATAGTTATTTAAACTATTACCACCACATGTTACAATAAAACATTTATTATTATTAACTACATATTACCATCACTTGGTAAATACATAACTCGATAAGGTGTTGCGTCAAAATTACAACATTATTACAATTTTAATTTTATTATGACAAATTAATTCTTAAAAATGCATATGAATAACCAAAATGCCAACAATATTCTTTAAGAAATTTCAGTAAATGTTCAAAAACATTTTCGTTTCGGCAAAAGTTGAAAATGAAGTTCAGCGTAATATTATCGGAATTTATTACATCTGTAACCGCAACTGTGAAAGACCATGTCAGATGTATTTGTATGAATATCCTGAAAGAAATAGATCGGAATTTGTTTGAATTTTGAGCACTCGAGAAGCCTAGAAATAACTATGGACAAGGGAATAAAACTAATAATTTTTTATTTTAATGCGTGGTGGTAATAGTTCAAATAACTACTTAGATGGATTTCACAGGATCTAACGACACTTACAGTGTACGATAATTCAATAAACAAAGAAATCTAAATAGAAAATTTAGATTTTGGAACGAATACACTCAAGATTAATTTTTTGAGACAAAACGTCTTAATCTGGTTCGGGCTGAGGCAGTACAGTATTGGGGGTCATGAAGGGTTGCAAAAAATGCAATAAAATTTCTAAGGTCACATTTAAAAAAATGAAGTTGATGATGGTCCTGGAGGGACAAAACGTTACATATAAAAATTGATTATGCCATTCATAGAGGGCAAAAGTAGCCTTGAGAAAGTGTTCTTCTTTTTTCAATATCACCTCAAACAAGGCTGAATGAAATAAAAACGAAAAAAACAAATATTTCAAAAACTAATCATGTTATCCTTGATTTTTTAGAGGCATAATGTTGGTCCCCTGATTCCGTAACTTTGCCCCCATTTAAGCTAGTTTGTATCTCTTACCGTTTTCGAGATCCCTGTAGTGAGAAGCGAATTTGTAACAGCCTGTATACAGTGTGTCCCCGGATAGATGAAACGACTCTACTAAAAGGTAAAATAATTTCAATCTAAATGTTAATTTTTTGGGTTTCATCCCTGCTTTCTAACATAATTTCATTTTTGTAAAATCAAGTATGCTTTGGAAATTTTCAAAAAAACCTATTTTTCTGTAAAGTGCTGTTTATACAACAAAAAGTTATTAATAAAAGTTGTTTAGAATCAACAGCAAGGCCGCTACACCATATTGCAAAATCCTTGGCCGACTGATTTTTTAAATTTTTTAAAGGTAGCTTTTTAGTAACAGATACATTGAAAAGTTATTCAAAAAAATTGCTTGAAATCAAAATCTAGGTCCATATCCCAAATTTAAATATGATCTCTCACATTTTCATGCGTATCCCAAATAAAAGAATTCCATTTTTAACAGACTGTCAAGCATAAACTCATAATTTTCTCTGACGAAAGTACTTTTACTGCAAATGATGTTCCGTCTTCCTAAAACTGTCGATGTTGGAGTGAAGGCGATCCCCATTACATAATTAATGCAAGAAGAGAGCATTTTAGGAAAGTGAATCTTTGGTCTATAAAATTCGGGTGAGGTAATTGGAATATATGCCTAGAATTTTTTAAAAATTTCCGATTAATCTCTTGCCTCCAACTCGATCATATGAAGTTTGACATATTCGGTATCTAAAAATGAAAAAAAAACAGGAAAATTATGTACTAAAGGCTGTCAAACAAAAAAAAACAAACATTAAACATTCCTAAATCATCAATCTAGACCCAAAACATAACCTAAAATTAAAACGAACATACTTAATTTTTTCTAAACCTGTGAGTATATTTTTGCATAACTTTAACTCAAGTTCATAGGAAGTTGACCAGGAAACCTGAAAACCTAACCTCAAATCCAAAGTAATTAATTTAAAAAAAATCCACAGAAACAATATATTTTTTTCAAAAGAGGATGTGATTGCTTCAAAAACACATTCCGCAATATATGTTTTCTTGTGCATACCAAAAATTTTAATCCATAAAACTTAATCTTAAAGGACTAGAACCTAACCTCAAATGTTGAAAATTTAAGCTAAAAATAAAAAAAAAAAAACGAACCAATCCATTTTACGAAAAAAAAATTCTTGAACAAAAATTTTACAACTGTGCATGATACAAACCTAAGAACCTTGTAGCCTAACCACTAATTTGCAAAACCTAATATAAATTAATTGATTTGGAGAAAAAAAGGTTTTTTGAAATGCTTGGTTTTTCAAAATTGAAATTATGATAGAAATTATTCTTTAATCAAGCAGGTCTGAATTTCAAAAACTTGTGCAAAACCGTACTTATCTTATCAACTTCCACATCACCTGTTACATAGGTGTTGTATAACAAAGAAAAAGTAATATTAACGGTCGATAGAAGGAAGCACAAAAAACAGGCACTTAGGTAGGAAATTCTGGAAGGAAGCCTAAACAGTTGAAGATAGGTAGTTGAAGTGGGAACAGTGTGCAGATAGGTAGCAAGACGNATTTATTATTATTAACTATTACCATCACTTGGTCATACATAACTCAATAAGTTGTTGCGTCAAAATTAAAACATTATTACAATTTTAATTTTATTATGACAAAAATAAAAATGCATATGAATAACCAAAACGCCAACAATATTCTTTAAAAAATTTCAGTAAATGTTCAAAAACATTTTCGTTTCGGCAAAAGTTGAAAATGAAGATCAGCGTAATATTATCCGGAATTTATTACATCTGTAACCGCAACTGTGAAAGAGCATGTCAGATGTATTTGTATGAATATCCTGAAAGAAATAGATTGGAATTTGTTTGAATTTTGAGCACTCGAGAAGTCTACAAATAACTATGGACACGGGAATAAAACTCTAATAATGTTTTATTTTAATGTGTGGTGGTAAAATTTTAAATAACTAGATGGGTTTCACAGGTTTCACTTACAGTGTACGATAATTCAATAAACAAAGAAATCTAAATAAAAAATTTAGATAAATTTGGAACGAATACACTGAAGATGAATTTTTTGAGACAAAACGTCTTAATCTGGTTCGGGCTGAGGCAGTACAGTATTGGGGGTCATGAAGGCTTGCAAAAAATGCAATAAAATTTCTAGGGTCGCATTTAAAAAAATGAAGTTGATGATGGTCCTTGAGAGACGAAACGTTACATATAAAAATTGATTATGCCATTCGATAGAGGGCAAAAGTAACATTGAGAAAGTGTTCTTCTTTTTTCAATATCACCTCAAACAAGGCTGAATGAAATAAAAACGGATTTCCAAGATTTCGTTTTTTTTCAAATATTTTGAAAACTAATCATGTTAGCCTTGATTTTTTAGAGGCATAATGTTGGTCCCCTGATTCCGTAACTTTGCCCCCATTTAAGCTAGTTTGTATCTCTTATCGTTTTTGAGATCCCTGTAGTGAGAAGCGAATTTGTAACAGCCTGTATACAGTGTGTCCCCGGATAGATGAAACGATTCTACTAAAAGGTAAAATAATTTCAATCTAAATGTTAATTTTTTGGGGTTCATCCCTGCTTTCTAACATAATTTCATTTTTTTAAAATCAAGTATGCGTTGGAAATTTTCAAAAAAAACAATTTTTCTGTAAAGTGCCGTTTATGGGGCAAATACAACAAAAAGTTATTAATAAAAGTTGTTTAGAATCAACAGCAATGCCGCTACACCATATTGCAAAATCCTTGGCCGACTGATTTTTTACATTTTTTAAAGGTAGCTTTTCAGTAACAGGTACATTGAAATGTTATTCAAAAAAATTGTTTGAAATCAATACCTAGGTCCATATCCCAAATTTAAATATGATCTCTCACATTTTCATGCATATCCCAAATAAAAGAATTTCATTTTTAACAGACTGTCAAGCATAAACTCATAATTTTCTCTGACGAAAGTATTTTTACTGCAAATGATGTTCCGTCTTAATAAAACTGTCGATGTTGGAGTGAAGGCAATCCCCATTACATAATTAATGCAAGAAGATAGCATTTTAGGAAAGTGAATATTTGGTCTATAAAATTCCGGTGAGGTAATTGGAATATATGCCTAGAATTTTTAAAAAATTTCCAAGTAATCTCTAGCCTCCAACTCGATCATATGAAGTTTGACATATTCGGTATCTAAAAATGAAAAAAAAAACGGAAAATTATGTACTAAAGGCTGTCAAACAAAAAAAAACAAACATTCTAGACCCAAAACATAACCTAAAATTTGTAAATCTTAACTTAAAACGAACATACTTAATTTTTTCTAAACCTGTGACTATATTTTTGCATAACTTTAACTCAAGTTCATAGGAAGTTAACCAGGAAACCTGAAAACCTAACCTCAAATACAAAATAATTATGTTTAAAAAAATCCACAGAAACAATATATTTTCTTCAAAAAAGGATGTGATTGCTTCAAAAAGACATTCCGCAATATATGTTTTCTTGTGCATACCAAAAATTTTAATCCATAAAACTTAACCTTAAAGGACTAGAACCTAACCTCAAATGTTGAAAATTTAAGCTAAAAATAAAAAAAACCAATCCATTTTACGAAAAAAAAATTCTTGAACAAAAATTTTGCAACTGTGCATGATACAAACCTAAGAACCTTGTAGCCTAACCTCTAATTTGCAAAACCTAATATAAATGAATTGATTTGGAGAAAAAAAGGTTTTTTGAAATGCTTGGTTTTTCAAAACTGAAATTATGATAGAAATTATTCTTTAATCAAGCAGGGCTGAATTTCAAAAACTAAAAATTTAGAATGAAAATTTTTTACCTTTTACAAGAGTCATTTCATCTATCCGGGATACATTGTGTATTTAAAAATTGTACTTGTCTTACATAAAGAATTTTTGTTTTTCCTTTTATTAAAATTATTAATATTAGTGTTGTTATTAAGGCAAGGATGTTCTCTATGTGTGCTTGATAATATTAGCACAAAAAAGAAACCATTGTGTACTAACGTTCTCCTCGGAAAAGGGAAATTTAAAAAAAAATTCTCATTGTTTTTGAAAATATAGAGAAATATAGGGCACCTAACAGTATTTATGAGAAAATTCTCTCCAAATGGGGAACGACTGCCCCCTTAGTTTCGTCACCGTTGCCCGCGCTATCTCCCAACACATGTACTGTGGGTTGCCAACAATTCATGTATGTATTTGTAAGACATAAATATTACAGTGGTGGCGTACACAAGAATTAAGGTGCATTTAAAAAAAAACTAGTTATAATTTAACTATTTATTTGATTAAAAAAAAAATAATTTCAGATTCGTATTCAGAGGAACACGTACTGTTACCCCTAAAAAACTTACCCTCCTTAATGTTATACCCTGTATATTGCGTTTCTTAATTTAATAATAGTTTCATATATTCTCAAGTTGTTCTCGCTGTTTTTTTCTTGTTTATTCTTGTTTGTGCGGAATGAAAATTATTCAGTAATAAATTGTCGGGCATTTTTCTTTGTGTGAAAATTTGAATTAATATGTCTTTGAATTGGCGTCGATTCGATGTTGGCAACCCTACTACTTGTGCATTACGTTAAATAAATATTTCAGTGGAACTGAAATTGGACGGTTTGTCTGTCAAGTCGCCTATTTTTACTCCTGACGGCCAATCACTTATATGGCTCCAAAGAAAATCGGGAGGACCTCATGCTTCAGCAATGGCATTGGTTAAGGCTGATCTTCCTCTAACAAAATATGTAAGTTTCAAAATTTGTCCAAAGTCCATGTAATTTTATTGCCAATATGAATTATTTGTCATTGTTTTAGACTGTACCACAAGTTATTGTTGACATAGTAGAAAAAGAAATTAAAATACACAATGGGGATACTTTTTATGGGTTATATAACACTGGATTTCCAGAAAGGCCTTGGGCAAGCGGAAACAGGCTATTATTAAATACAAATCAAAAATACACAATAAATTCGTATGTAATCGATATCGGTGAGTATAATTGATTAAATGTTTTAGCCTTCCAATTTTCACCTAAAAGGTGTATCGCTTTTAAACTTTTAAAGCTGTATATTTGTTAGTTCTTAAACCAAATATTTTAGTTGTAAACAATCCAATTGCACAAAATAATCCATGAAAAAATAGTGTTTCATTAGTCACTGTTGTGTCTAAGTAAATATATGGTACTGGAAAAATTACATAAAACTAATAGGCGAGCGGTTCACACCTAAAAAAATGCATGAACCGACTAAATTTTTAAAACAAAAACCTACAGCATGAAACTTTTTTATTATATAAAGTGTATTTTTCTGATAATTTACATGTTTTTTTTTTATATTTTTCGGCGTACTCAGTCAATTGTTATAAACAAAAAGTTGTAAAAAAAATACTTGCCGAATGGCTTTGAAAATAGTTTTTATTGTAAAATGGGCCAAAATAAACACTTTTTGTTCTTTGATAAAAATTCTAAAAATGCTTCATTTCCGAGATATTTATAATTTAATGTGAAAAAAGTGACGATATCGACAAACTTTCGGAATTTTTTTCTCAAAAACTACTGAACAGATTTTAATTCTAAAAAAGCATAATAATCAACAGATTTTCTACTTTAAGATATTTTTTTGGTATGGGTCAATCATTTTATTGAAGGTCTAAAGCGAGTAAAAAAAGTCTTTTAAAGAAAATTATGATAAATTTTCTTTTTACAATATCTTGGATTAGATTATATTTACAATAAACATTATTATGATTTTTTTTAATCGATATATGTTCACAGTACAAATGTTCAAAAGATCATTTTGTTTGGTTTTGTAGCCCGAGTAAGATTTTTGCAAATAATTAGTAAAATTTAAATATTCGATTTTTGGTTTTATATATGGCTAAAATTGACTCGAAGTTATACCAAAACTAACCTAAATAAGCTTTTTAAATCGTAAATTAACCTAATAATAATAATTGACCTAGCGGTCTCAAAAAATAAAAAAATTATTGGATAATTTATTGTATAGGATAATTATTTTATTTTTATTTTACGGAAATATTAAGAGCAATAAAAGTATATTAATTTCTTTTTTATTTAATTTTTAAATAATAAGTTTTTCGTTATTTTTGACAAGTTTTTGAGTTGAAATAAGCGTTTCATCATCAATTTTGGATAGAACATTCTGACATTCACATGAACAAAAATATTTTTTAAGCAGTTTCTCCTTCGAAATAATTAAAATCCAAACAACCATTTTCAATCTTCCATCCATGTATCAATGGATCTAGAGTTACAATTTCACTATTTGTAGACTGTTTTTTTACTCGCTTTAGACCTTTAATAAAATAATTGACCTATACCAAAAAAATATATCTTAAAGTAGAAGATTTGCCGATTATTATGCTTTTTTTCTAGAATGAATCTGTTCAGTAGTTTTTGAGAAAAAAATTCCTAAAGTTTGTCGATTTCATCACTTTTTTCACATTAAATTGTAAATATTTTGGTCCATTTTACAATAAAAAACTGTTTTCAAAGCCATTCGGTGAGTAATTTTTTTTTTACAACTTTTTTGTTTATAACAATTGACTGACCACGCCGAGAAATATAAAAAAATATGTAAATTATCAGAAGAATACACTTTATAAAGTAAAAAAAGTTTCATGCTGTAGGTATTTGTTTTAAAAATTTAGTCGGTTACCTTCATTTAGAAGCAACTTTTTAGGGGTGAACCACTCGCCTATAAAGTTAGACATGGTGAGCACGTGTATACCTCTTGTAGGTGGGGAGGGGGGTAATTTTGAAATCTTAAATAGGTACCCCTATTTTTTATTGTAGATTCGGATTCAACGGCTAAAAGTACGAAGGATTTGTATAAAACATTTTTTTAAATTCGTAATAGATAGCGCTGTAACGACGAAAATATATTTTTTTTAATTTGATTGATTAAATCTGCTTTCAAATGAATGTATTTTTTGTATTCTGTTTTAAGATACCATTTCTTATGTAAAAAATGTTTATAAAAATGTTTTGTAGTAGAATTAATTGGACCTTAAATTCGCAATTTTGATCAACTTGCCTAAATTTTTTATACTTTATTTTGAGGTATATAATAACAATAAGTGACAGTAAAAATTGTCTATTAACTTTTTCTTGTATTAACGGTTAGGGAGATCAGAAGTTAACGGATGAAAAAATCATAACAAGCAGAAAAATGAACAAATTTTAGGATTTTTTTTCAATTTACTCTAAAAAAATGTAAACTATCTTTTCAGAGAAATAGATATATTTTTTAATTTTTAATAAAAAAAAGTGATTTTTTATCTTTGTCGTAAAACAAAATTTCAAAAGCAACTTTTTATTATTTTAAATAATCGATCAAATGGCATAGAAAAAAATTGTTTTAGTGTTAAATCATAAAAATTAAGGATTAAAAAATTTAAATTGTTATAACTTTTTTATTAAAAATTAAAAATATATCTATTTCTCTGAAAAGAAAGTAGATTGAAAAAAATATATAAAATTCATTCATTTTTCTGCTTGTGATTTTTTAAATTTCCGAAATCATCCCTTAAGTTCTAGTCTTCCTAATTCTGTTAATTTTAATAGTACAAGAAAAATTCAATATGCCATTTTTATGTAGAATTTTATGCTCTACAACTTTTATAAGAAACTTTTTTTCTAACTCTTACCCCTTTTGAGTTATCTTGAAAACTCTCTTTATTTTATCTTTTTTCACCCCTGGCCGGGGGTTGAGAAAAAATTACTGTCACTTATTGTTATTATATACCGCATATTAACTTATAAAAAATATTTAGGCAAGTTGACCAAATTGCTATTTAAAGGCCCATTTAATTGGACTATTATTATGTTTACATTTAACGTTTGTGTTATTTCTTCCTTCATGTTTTTTGTGACCGCAAAAACACAAAATAAATGTAGAAAGAAAGAAACAACTTTAAGAAACAAGTCATACTCAGCCATTCTTGTTTTTCCAAAGTAACGTAGGCCGTTTGTTTTTGCCCACCTGTAGTTTACTAAATTGAAGTTAGAGGTCATTAACACTGACATTCGCAAACTGATCGCAGACTTTTAAAAAATAGTAATTTTTTAAATTTAATATGCACCTCTTATAAAATAGCAAAACTAATTATTTTAACACATAATTTGGTTTCACTTACTGTTAGCAATGTACGGTAAGAAAGGCGAAATTTGGCAATGATTGTTTTTGGATCTTACCGATGATCTTGAGCTTCTGCAGAGAAAAAAATGAGAGGGAAAGAGAGTTTTCTGTTTTGTTACTGACACAAGAACGAGGCTTTTTTCGTATGGCTTGCACGGCACTGCTTTTTCACATTCTATCGTCGATTAAAAAATACGCTGGGTCCCAAAATTATTGGATAAAATTAATTTTTTTCCAGTTGAAATTTATAAAAATAGCTGAAATAGATTAATTAGTAAATAGAAATTGACACTTTTGTTGTTACTAGTGACTTTTTAATTATTTTCTAATGAACACTGTTAAAATCTTGTGTCAGTTAATACGGTTTTTCTTGAAAACCATGAAGTTTTTTAAAATTTAACAAGAGTAAAAAAAATTTAAAATTAAATTCTACTGTGGATTAATATTACCATTTTTCAATTTGGTCAATGAAAAAAAAAGTTCGGTACAATTTTAGGGGGTGAGTCATCCCCAATTAACATCTTGTAGTGCTTCAATTTTAAATCATAGTCAAAGAAGACCAATAATAAACATAAATCATGTATCAAATTTGATTCTTCTGCGGTAGTCTTGCAGAGATATTAATTTTTTTCGAAATGCGGGCCACCCTGTATATGGGGTGATTAATTAAAAATGGGCAATCTCTAAACTGGAAATACTACTCACTATTCTCACTAAAATATGATGATTGAGCCTAACATGCCTTATACCACAGACCACCTAGACTGGCCGTATCTAATTCCAATGCACAGGTACCAGTGAATGCAAAATCCGGGGAAGTGGAGTGTGGAAGGCAATCTGATCGCGCGCATCTTTAAGCAGATCCGGATTAAGTAATATTTTTATTACATATTAAACATTATATTGCATCTTATGACAAATATTCAATTTTAAGTTTGTAATTCAGAAAATAGTATATTTTAGTGTCATATTAAATAAAACTACAAAATAATTTAAATATATTTATTATCCTCTAAATAATATTAATTTATTTAATATTTGTCTTTTCGTAGATTTTACCGAATTAAATAATTTGACTTCATGATTTATTCGTACATCGATATACTTTTCACATTCAGCCCTTACAAGTTCTATTAAATGATTACAATTGTTAGGCAAATTATCAAATTGATGTTCATGCAAATTTTCAAATATGTTCACATTCAGAAAGTTTTTTAATACATGATAAACAATTTTATTTTTCTGTAGCCTAGGTGTTCATCATTATTTAAAAATTTTATTAATTTTTCTGTTTCTTAGCATATTACTACGACATCTCGAGATGGATACGTCAAATAACCACGATCTTTAATAAAAAAATTGACTGTACGAATACTGAATCTGAAATTAGTATTGTTTGCGATTTTTTTAATTGAAAAAAATATTTAATTAATTTTCAGCTATCTCGAAATGACGGGAATTGGTAAAATTTCATAAAAATTTAAGACACATAAAGTAAATAATTACTAAAAATATTTTACAGTAATTCATTCATTATTTTATAATAACAATATCACATTCATCACTACACTATGTGGGCGAACAAAATTATAAAGCTAACCCTGGAAACTTGTGACGTCAACCGAAAAATGGCGTACATATTTACCTTTTATATATTCCTTTTTTTTACTTACCTAAAGAAGGAAACTTTTTGCCTCTCTTCACCAACTCGATCACTTCTATTTATACAATGTTTTACAATACACCTGCCCATGATAAAACGTCTAATTATCGAAATCACAGCGATGCGTATACGTCAAATGCTAGGACACGACTGAACGCTGGGCTCCAAATCAGGCTCCAAAGTGAACTCACCAAAGTCGCTCTATAAGCCAGTCGAGGTGGTCTATGCCTTATACAATTTTTTACGGGATACAGGGTGTTCAAAGTTGGAATTTTAATTTGAAATTTCTCAATAATTTTGGAATTATTAGCAGAATCAACTCGAAAATTGGTAGTTTTATGTTTTTTGGTATGATAATTACGAATTTGATGCTGAATTTGCCGCTATCTGTACAGAGCGTTAGTTACACCCTGTTACTTCAGTAAATCAGAACACATTTTTTTTGTCTAACGGATTACGGCTAAAGTCGGCATACCAAAAAACATAAAGCTTCCAATTTTGGAGCTGATACTGCTAAAAATTCCAAAATTATTGGGAAATTTCAAATTAAAATTCCAATATTCAACACCGCCTACATCTCGTAAACCTGTAACATTTGTATAAGGCATGTTAAGGTGAATCACCATATTTTGGGGTGTACTATCTCCAGTTTTGGGATTACCTACACCCTGTATAATGTGGCAAAGTAATGGTTGTTGCTTTATTTTCATTTGTGATTTTCATCTACAGGGAATTGAAAAGTGTAAATTTTCCCTTTCCCCGATTTTTTAAGGGTGAATAGTTCAAATTATTGTACCTTCAACACAATTTTAGAGAGTGGACATGTAACGAATTTGAAATTTATCGATGGAAGTCAAACTGTCGCTGATGTATACGGCGATACAGTGCTAGCGGTGCAGAGTAACTATTTCATGCCAGATAAATTGGTTATTGGTAAATTACCCAGGGCCGGTAGTGAATCGCTCATATCGTGGACAGACCTTACCGCCACTACAGACTTAAGTGGTCCTGAAAATTGCTTTTACGTCTATCTGGACTTGTCAGCAAGTTCTGTAAGCGACACTGTTAGTAAGTATTGCCCGACGGACATTTAAAAGTTTATATTAACGTTCATCTCGAACTGATATTTTTACCATCTAGGGTCTTTCAACGCGATATATGTTGGACCTAACGAGAGAACTGAAAAGTATGTACCGTTAATAGTTTGGCCACACGACGGACCTCACTGTGCCTTTGCGAATTTTTGGATGATGGAAGTAATACTGTTTGCTAGATTCGGTAAGGATTCAATTCAGCATTTTTAAAATCGAAGTATTATTGAATAAAAGTGTAAAAAACATATACAGTTTAGTAATAATTTCATTAATTTTAAAGGAAGATGAGGAAAAATGAGGAGAATACGAATATGCGGTTAACAATATTAAAGTTAGGTTAGTGACTGAACAGTACAGTAGGTCAAGATTCACTTTCGATAACCCTTTGTAATGGTAAAAATACTAATTGTAATAATTGTGTTTTAAATATAAAAAAATATCTTATTCATTCATGTGTCAAGATTAGGTCAAGCAAATAAAATTTTTACTCGAAAGAAGTCCTATCCGCGAGATTATTGTAAAATTGTTTAAAGGAACATAATACAAGACATCTCTCGTCTCGTGAGTCAAAAAATTTTATTAGCTACCTAACTTTTCTATTTAAACAAATGAGGAAAACAGTTTTTTCACTTTGCAGGGAAATCCATCAATTTTAGCGAAAAGTGACTCACAGACAGCTTGTAGGGAATAAAATTATCTACAAAATGAGACTAGTTAAATTAAAATCGGTTAATAAACAAAAAAGTTATTGCAAAAAACAAGGAAAGTGCCCAGTTTTTAATTTGTTTATAACTATCGCATTTATTGTTAAAATTTTATAAAACCTATGACACATTGAGGGTTTTGTCATACTTTAAAAGTGTGCCAAAAGTGTTCGCACAATTTAAATTTTTTTCTATTTTTATGAAAAATAACTTTAAATCAACGATAGCTTCATTTATTTATTTAATAATAGTAAAATAATTCCGAAATCGAAATTTTAATTTATATTTCGTTTAACAATAATTTTTGTGACATTTTTGTACATTAAAAAAAAATTAAGTATAAAAGCATCTTTTCTAGGGTTCAGGTCTATTCTACGAATTCGTAAATATGCCCATTGTTATTTTTTCGTCGAGCTACCCCAGTTTAAAAAAAAAGAAGTTTCTACGATGAATAGAAGCCGGGATATTGCAAAATTTACAGTGCGCATCAATTTGAACTGTGGATTTCACCTTTCTCGCACGCAACTCGCTTGGACGAGCTACCTTCTCTTTAAAGGGCTCATGATTCGTAAGTTTTCCACATTTTTCAATGCAATTCACGGGAAATCATAGTTTACGTCGTAAACTTTATTTTGCGAAAAATTCAAGTCAATGTTTATAAACAATTGCTCTACGATTTAAAAAAAAATTCTTATCTTGGCTCCTGTTGGTCGTAAAGGGTGCTTTTTTTTAAATTTGTATTTTTTTGCCAGCTATCCATTGCATCTATTTTCGGTGAGGTAGCATAAATAGCAACAATTTTATTAAAATTGTTTATAAGCGAAAAACGCACGGTTTTTTAATGCACAATTTGAGAATGTTAATGTCAAAAAAACGGTGATATTTTTTAATAGGTCGCTTAATTGCGTCTTTAAGATTACAATGACGCTTTCAGAATCATGTTTGATTGAAAATTAACGTCTGTACAGAGGCTTAAAGTTCATAACTTTTGGAGCCTCCGCTATAAACAAATAGAATTGTGCGAAAACTATTGCACCTACAGCGCCCACTTTTGGCACACTTTTAAAGTATGACAAAACCCTCAACTTGTCATAGGTTTTATAAAATTTTAACAATAAATGCGATAGTTATAAACAAATTAAAAAATGGGCACTTTTCTTGTTTTTTTGCAATAACTTTTTTGTTTATTAACCGATTTTAATTTAACAAGTCTCATTTTGTAGATAATTTTATTCCCTACAAGCTGTCTGTGAGTCACTTTTCGCTAAAATTTATGGTTTTCCCTGCAAAGTGAAAAAACTGTTTTTCTCACTTATTTGTTTAAATAGTTAGCTAATAAAAGTTTTTGACTCACGAGATGGGAGATGTCTTGTATTATGTTCCTTTAGACAATTTTACAATAATCTCGCAGATAGGATTTTTTTCAAGTTTCTCTTTTATTTTTGCTAATTTTCCTGGTGTAGATATGTTCACTCCTTGTCGTTCGGTACGTATTAAAAACGTAGTAAAAACTAGGTTAGTGACCGAATAATACGATAGGTCAAGATCCATTTGAAAGGTCAGTGAAACTGAGATAACAGATCTGAAATTTTGTTTTCATTGTTTTCCATTAAAAATGTCAGTGCGACTGCCTTTTGTAAGGAAGAGTTGTCGAGGAAGTGTTAAGAGTTTTGTTTTCTTATGTAGAACTAATGTTTTTATTTTTTATTACTGACGGTGAAAGTTGTGTTTCTTATGATTGTCATCAATCCCAATTAGATTTACTATCTTGATCTATTGCACTATCAGAATAGAAACATAAGACTGCGTTTTAAAAAAGTTTTAATAGGAAAATACAAATTTTTTACAGGTTTCGGAATTCTATTCATTAACTACAGAGGCTCGATCGGTTCCGGACAAAGTAGTGTTGAATTTTTGTTGGGAAAAATTGGAAGGTCTGACGTGGCCGACTGTATAACCGCAATAGACAAGGCACTCGAAACTTTGCCCTGTCTTGATCCCTATAATTTAGCCCTATTCGGGGGTTCGTATGGAGGTTTCCTCGTTACCCATCTCAGTGGACAATACCCAGAAAGATTCAATTCCGTCGTGGCTCATAATCCTATTATAGATATGGCTTCCATGAATTTAATGTCTCATATACCCGACTGGTGACTCTCTTCTGTTTTTTTCCAATATTACAGGTTTCTAATCGCTCGTAATTGCAGGTGCTATGTAGAAGTCGGCGTAGAATACACCCAACGGGGTAAAATCGATAATGATATTCTAATTGCCATGAGAAAGGCATCCCCCATCGTGCATGCACATAAAGTTAAGGCGCCGACATTGCTGCAAATTGGTACGAAAGACCTAAGGGTACCTTCGCATCAGGGAACTGAATATTATTTGCGACTTAAAGCTAACGGAGTGCATACCAGGTAAGTGAAACTCATTTTTCAATCTGCCATAGGCCCTCATTTCAAGAAAAAAGTTAATTTTTCTGAAATCACTTGAATAATTTTAGATTTGTTAAAAATTAAAAATGTGGCGAGCATAAAATAATATATACTTACATAATATATATACAGGGTGATTCACAACTTATCCAAAAAAATTTGGGAATAGATGCGGCATGAGAAATGGAGTCAATATCGTAAAAAAAATTTTGTAAAATCCTTATAGTTTCCGAGAAAAATATTATTGAAGTTATACATTCAACCACTACATAGCTGGACAACTGTAGTCTCTATCGTCATTCGCAACACACGTGGAGAGCACGTGGCTTCAGCGACTCCCAATATTGAAATCGGATTTTGCAATCGTCGTTGCCATAGTATTTACCTGTTATCTGTACTATACTGCCCTGTTAAGCCATAAAGTCGTAACTGTCAAATAGTTGATTTTGAGATAATTAGCATTTTCTCTGGTCTAATTTGCCGTGAAGACTATTACATTCAGAAAAGATATATTTATTACATACTACTAATTTTTACTTGCAGATTTTGTTTTTTCACTTTATTTTGTTGTGCATACAGCCCAAGTATGATATTTGACACATGCGACATTTTCTGTTAATAATGATGAAAATTGAAACTATGAGAAAAGTAGTATCTACAATAAATTTCAATTGTTCATTAATTGTTATTTGCCTATTACTATCAATTTTTAACTGATATTGTTTCTTACAATTTGTGCAAGATGCTTTGATTTGATATTTACTCTTACTGGTCTTGATTTTGATTTGATTTCGTTAAAATTTATCTACTGTTTACTACATTTACACTTTCTACAAAAACTTCCTCTTCTTTGTATAGCGATGCGTTGTTTATGACCTTTATTTTTGTTTTTACATTTGCAATATCTTTAAAACTGTTGCAATTACTACTACTACTACTACTACCACTAGTCCTATCCATTTCTTCCATATCTGGCTCATATTCGCTGGTACTACTATCATCCTCTCGCTGCCTTTTTGAATAATTCAACTTTTTAAAAAAATCGATTTTCTCAGCAAGTTGCTTGATAGTATGTATAATTAGATTAACAGGAACAAAAAATGTAATTACTTACTAAATAAACAACTCCGGGGATACGTTATAATAAATATTACTACCTCACACTTTAACAGTCTAGAATGAACGAGACTAATTAAAAACTGAATAATTCCCACACCAAATCACTGTTTATCTGCTAGCTAGTTACAAACTGAATCTGACAGATGGTAGATATTATTTTGTAGATGGCGCAGTTGTACAGTTGTTAGTACAGTCACTAAATTAGTCACTAGATAACATATGTTATCTAGTGACTGTAGTTATGTTATTTAGTGACTGTATAGTGAATGTATTTGTTAGACGAATTGGTCGTATCTGTGTGATAAATATTACAGATACGACTATTCTAACATTTTCAGATACAACTTTATTTCTAACAAAGGCATGGAAATTGTAGATACGACATTCACATTTTGAGGTATATAGCCTATAATAATAACAAATTCGTCCTTTTTTCTTAACAAACTGATTAAACTGATGTCGTGGAGTATTAGTAACCCTGTACTTGAAATTGGGTATAATTGCAGTTATGACTTTATGGTTTAACAGGGCAGTATTGTAAACACCTACAATAGTTTTTTAGTAGTTAATGTCAAAAATGGGTAGTTAGTGTCAAAAATGGTTTGCGTGTACAGCAATTCGGAGTTGATGGATATTGTTTTAATTTATGGTGAAGCATTTGTGTTATGGTGAAGCAAGACAACATTTGTGTTAGTTCGTAGAAACTGAATAAGACGGACCCAAATGTGTTAACACGTTAATGGATAGAATTTTGAATAATTGTTGTTGTAACATCGGGTATGTCAAACGATGTTATTATTTAAAAACACTAATTAATTTTATTAATTAATAAAATAAAATTTTTGTCCGTTTTTATTACACCGCCATGCCGGTCGCATTGGGCAAGGTCAGGTTTTACAGTGGACCAGTTTCCAGTGCCGTGCAGAAGTGTATTTTTAAATCATTTTCGAACTGCCCTTTTTGATTTTTTTGTTACAAAACTGAATTTATAAGGATCTCCCGTACATCCAGAATTTTTTTTTTGGATAAGTTCTGAATCACCCTGTATATACAAATCTTTATAGTATGTTCGATAATTCGAACGATTCGATAATACGAACGATGCCTGACTATTTTGTATAAAAACTGGAAATTTTTGATGACAAATTCGATCAATTTTGTCTTCCTCTACAAAATGTCCAATTTGCACAAAAAAATAAACCTATGTTTCCGGGAAAAGTAAATTTTGCTGACAGTTTGCATCTGTCAACTTCGGTCAATCCTATGTATGGAGTATGCTATATGTTATCGACTTAAAAATAGATGCTCTTTCCAAAAATGCAATAATATACAGGGGTTCCATTTAAAATAAGAAAGTGTCCGTTTCCAGTATAACGGGAAGTACGATGACCTTGGAAATAATTTAGCTTGGTAGGCCCCACGGTCCGTATAACACCATCACAACTTGGTGGGACTGAGCCTTCATAAACGATTACAAGCCAAGCGTCTGCCAAGAGTAGGCAACCAACAGTGCACTGATAACTACGATACTGCGGGAAACAACTACTGTGCTGGCTACATGCCTCATCTACCATTGAATTACACCCCTAATACAGTGCAACCAGATTGAGTGATCTATTGCAAATTGTATTACATTTGGAAATTTTTCGTAATATTTGAACCCACCATTTGAGCGATTTTATGTGTCGCTTGCGACTCGCCCAACATTGTCACAACCCAGTCTGAGAACCGCAACAAATCAAATCAACTTGAAGTTTATTTTTTTGTGTTTTTCAAATTCAATGCTGGACGGGGCTTGTAGCCGTCAGAGTAGGCGTCTTGCAATAGAAACATTTTATAATACTTCAAAAGATTCAGCGTAATGTTTGTCTTTAGGATGAACTTGTATGATGGTGACCATTCCTTGGGAATTGCTTCAAACGAGGATGATATCGTAATCTCTTTGCTTTGGATTATGAAACATGAAGCAGATAATTTTGTAAATGGAGTACACAGGTTAAATCTTGCTTAAAAATTTATTCTAAATTTGAAATAAAGATTTTATTTGCTTTTTGCCGTTTGTTTCATTCATTATTCAGTCCTGGTATGTGTATAATTTTTAAATTGCCTGTATATCGAGTCAATTGCCGTTAATAAGGTTGGTTAAATCATGTATAAATACAGGAAACAATAAAGGTCCAAGATTTGACCCTTGTGGCATACCCCAAGTTAGATCAATTGACAATAATTTTGTGCATCACACATAACAATTTAAGGTAAAAAATTCATTAATTTCTTTGACTGTGCAAAACAACCATATTTAACCTATTTCACTTTTATAAATATTTGTCTAACACTTCGAACTATTTATAACTATGTAATTTAACAATTCTATAATTTTATTATTAATATTATTGCTAATGTGTGAATTTACGCAATGTGTTATATTAATAGATGGGATAGAACTTAACTCTATATTAACATTGAAAAAATAGTTATTTACGTACCAAGGGAGATACAGGGATGAAAATGCCCATAGGCGACAGGTTACAAGTCGCCTAATAAATGTCGGTGATTGTAAATTTTCGGGTAACATTGATTTTGGCAGTGTAGCCAACTTAGGGGTTTCCCCCCTAATTTTAGAAGTAAAAAGATTTATCCGGTTTTTTTAGGGTTAAAAAAATGTTTCTGAAAGACTGAAAAAAATGAGAATTAAAGCGTATAAGGATAAACGTGACGAAAATCAAAAAATTGGCTAATTGTAAGTTTGGGCGGCCTTATATCAGTCAATTTTCATCCAAAAATACTTTACCTCTTATTTTGAAGGAAATTTTATCTACTTTTTTTTCCATGAAGCAATGCCTATACCTATCTTTACTCAAAAAAAACTAGTGGCAAAAAAGTAAAAAAAATTAAAAAAATTTTTGCTTTTTTCAAATTGTTTATTAACGATTTTTTGCATAAAATTTTCCTTTTAAATTTTTTAAATAAGCCATTCGATGGGGAATTCTATTCTCTAAATAAATTGTTCTATGAAGTATAACGAAATTTTGCTTTGTTTTCAAGATACAATTAAAAAACTGAAAGGGGTGCATTTTCATCTCCAATTTCCACCCTCTAATTTAATAGCACTCCGCGGGTATTTTCATCGAAAATGACCATTTGAACGATTCATGTAATAAAATTGTTTGAACGTCATAGTTCCTTTTAACCCCTTTTTTTGGATATAATCAATAGCCTATAATGGTACAACAGCGGTACCGTTTTGATACTGTTTATAAATATTAGTTTTTGTAAGCAACAGATCAGTAAAAACACCTACAAAAGTACTACGACACCGCATAATTATTTACAAGTGCAAGTAACAAAACCTCATCATTTCATTACTTGTCTGAGGCTAAAGATTTGATGGGTTGGTACTTCTTTACTTCGCGAAGAAATTCACGAAAATTAGAACATGTTTTAATTTGTGAAGAACTTGATAAATAAATTCATGAAGTTATTTGACAGCAGATTTGGTGCATTACACTTGTCCATTTTCTTCACGAAGCGACTTCACAAATTAATTCATGAATAAATTCGCAATGTAAAACAGCTATTAATATGAACTATCGAAAAACGGTACAAGATTCAACTACAATCAAATGTATTAATAAAATCGCATTCGCATTAGAGATGGAAGTAAGTGCAGGTATAAATTCCAAAAAAGAATAAAAATAAATATAATTATATATTGTTAGAAATCTTTTAAGAAAAAAACTTCATATGAACATATGTCCTAAAAGTCTTAACTTTTGAACTACAGGGTGCTAAAGTTTTATGAAAAAACTTTTTTTATGATAACTTTGATATTACCCCAGATATTTTGTCAAATTTGGTACACGCCTTCTATTCATCGAGATGTATTTTCTGATGTACAAACAATTTTATTATTTTTGCTAATGGCGTCTGTACAGGTTTTGTATTGAATACTTTTGAAGAAAAATATGTTACGCCAGGGTAATTTTCTTTTACCATTCCAAAATGTATGTAGATTACTGTAATTTCATAATTTCAATGTTTAAAAGTTATTATCTTAAATAAATTATTGTTCAAAGTTACATTTTTTTTTCTCGTAAGTGGTCCAATAAGATGCAAATGAATGAATTTTATTTTTTTATGCGAAAACCGTACGTCAAACGAAAAAAAATTGAAGACACCACATTTGCTCAGAAAGGAATGAGGATTTCAAAAATGATTTTTACTAAAAGAAAAAGTAGTGGCGTAACATATTTTTCTTCAAAAATACTCGATACAAAACCTGTACAGACGCCACTGACTAAAATAATAAAATTGTACATCATAAAATGCATCTCGATGAATAGAAGGCGTGTACCAAATTTGAAAAAATATCTAGGGTAGGTAATACCAGTTATAAAAAAAAATGTTTTTTTCATAAAACTGTAGCGCCCTGTAGTTCAAAAGTTAAGACTTTTAGGACATATGTTCATATGAAGTTTTTTTCTTAAAATGGACCCAAGAATAACCTCCTTAAATATTAGCACATTATTATGAAACACCCTGTATATTGTAATATTCCCTGATAATTAGTGTGTTTCTAACAATATATTTTTTTGGGTAAACATTTCGGAATAAAAGCCCTAATGACTAGGTCTTGTCAACATAAAGATGTAACTAATTAGTTTTTACGGTCTAGCTGGCACTTCACATTCATGATATTTATGGGTTTATCCCGTCCACGCACAAACACTATGGTATATAGACGCATAGGTTGAATTCTAGTCTATTTTTTAAAGAGTAAAGTAAATAAACCAAAGCATAAATCCTTATCCTAATGCATTCAAAATTAAAAATGATGTTAAAACAAATATTTGAATATAAAAAGGATCTTACTTTATTAATACTAAAGTCTAAATAATTTGAACTGTAATAAATAAATTAATAATAGTAAAACAACAATAATTGAGTGTGGACATTTTTTACTATATGTGCAATAAAATAAAAGAAAATGAAACATCAAATGCCAGTTACAATTATGTAATTTCTATAAATGAACAAAATATTATTTATGATCAGTAAGCAAATAGTTATTAGTAAATGACTATTTTAGAAAAAAATGAAATACGTGCATAGTGCATAGGTACATTCCTCACACAAACTGGATATTACAACATAACAATAACAAAACAATAATGATATATGTATGTATCGATATTCATATTGTAATTATTAATATAACAACACCCTGTGAAGTATACACAGGGTGATTCACAAATGGTGAATTTTAAGGGGTCTTTCCTATAAATTTTTATCTAGAATGCTTCGTTAAAAAAATACAGGATGTTAAACTTAAAAAAATATTTTTAATTTTTTTAAATAATTTAAAAACTAGTAGGTGAAAGAATTTGAAATTGGGCACATATATTTGTGTACATTGCCCAAAATCTGAGGACTTTTCCTAAAATTTACATGCTCCAGTGGCGGCGGTACAGGGTATCGGTGGCATATTTTTCTAAATAAAATACTACGCCACTGCTTTACGGTAACAACCAAAAGTAACCAAGTGAGAGAAAAGCATGCTGGAAGCTTGAAAAAATATCTTCAACACTGGAAACATTATATCAGAGATTCAGCTGTACTATGCTCAGAGGACATAAAATTCCATCCAATCGAAAACCATTAAAAAATATATAAATCCTATACAGAACTATTAATAAAAATCAACTTCTAATTCTGAATTTCTAACATCTGTTTTTTGCTACACTTTGAGGGTAAGCAAATACGTGACTTCTTTTTTAATAGACTTCTAGGAATAATCCAAGGCCAGATACGAATTTCTCATACCTGATTTGCAAAAACAAGTGTTTTTAAACACAGTGCTGGCTCTTGACTTCCATACCATGGAGGGCGGAAAAATTTAGGTACAAAGTATTAGTACAAATCAAATGGGGTAGTTTTATTGTTAAGTCTATTGAAATATAGGGAAAATGTGCACAACATTATTTTTTATAGTGAATTAGTCTATTTTGCTTTTGTCCGAAATAAATTTTTCAATTACTTTTTCTTCAAAGTTTGGCATTTCCACACCATCGATTTTTCAATATATATATCATTGCAAGGGCTGTTAGTCTCTCTTTACTATCCAAATCTAACAAACTTTCTTTTGACGATTTGGGGGCTTACACTAAAACAACAAAAGTTCTCTTATAAAACTCTACACTTATGAGGCTGACGGCAGCGTCCAGTAGTTTTTGAAGTTGATGATAAAAGTTTATTTTCGTCGCTACCCTCATTAATACAAAGAATGGCTCCTTCTAAGAGTGTCAACCTACTGGTTTTCATGATATCATCTTTGTTAAAATGATCAGAAGAATTACACATAGCTTTTCACCGTGTATTGCTTTCATCCCGATTCATGCTAAGGACATTTCGCCATTGACGAAATCTATGTCATTTTAAGGAAAACTGTAGAAAAAAACCACGACCAGTATAAAAAGCAAGTGTGTAAAACATATCGGTGAAATAAAATCGTTTAATATTTTTGCAGCTTCTAACAAAACACATTTTCTTAATTTACAAATTATATTTCTTAAAACAAGTCAATAATACTAAATTCTCATAAAAACAACACTATCATCCTATTTAAATAGGAAAATCGGGAAATAACCTCAAAAGTAGTTCAGAAGTTCAGTAAACATCAAAATATAAACAAATTAGAAGAAGATCAGTACATCGTGTTCTATCCCCCGTTTATTGGGTGCTCCTTGGGCGCTTTCGTTTTGACAAACATAGTACCTATTACTACGAGCAACTTTGCTCGTAGCCCTATTAGCAACTAATATCAGTTCAGAGTAACTGTAAGTTACTAATAGTTACTATATTTGCCAAATCGAAAGATCCTCATTGTCGCTGTTCAAACCTACTATATCTGCACTCGTAGAGATCTTAATTTATTTCTCTCTCTCTTTAAAACTATATAACAATAACAAGGATAAAGCTAGGAACAAGGAGTCTAAGCTGAGCCTGAGCACCCGGAGTGCATTTTCCTGTAAACAATGTAAACTGCTAGAAACAATTTGTGTTGCCGAGTTTTGTCAAAACGAAAACACCTCGAATAGTTCTGACCGTATCCTTATTTTATAGGTTATAAATTCTATTTTGTCAAAGAAAACGGAAAAATAAATATAAAAATGGAAGATTGTAAAGGAATATTTTGCAGACTTTGCGTTAATATTGTGAGCAATACAAATTTTACAGTAATAGACGAATTTATAAAAGAAATTTTAAGGACAATTTCACAGAATCTGGTAATTCATCATGTATTATTAGTAGCATTGTAGTCCATTGAAAAGTTACATTTGGGGTTGCAAAAGTCAGAGCACCCAATTTTATTTTTTGGATCTCAAGAGTGGGTTGGTGTAAAGTTAAATCCATGTTTGTGGGGTCGCAACTAGGCTTGCCAGATCTCCGGGTTTTGATGGTACATCTTCGGGCGCCGGATTAACATGTCATTTCTCCGGGTTAACGCCCTACCCACCCTCGAAATCTATTTCCTCCAGTCATATTCCTTTTTTTTTTTAGACATCGATTTGTCTAATTGCAGAACTTTGGATTATATATATATTTTTAGAGCTCATTTTCTTCGTAAACAATTTCATTCCCAGATTTTCTAAAGACCTTTTTTTTTAGCCATGAATTTCTCCGGGTCAGTCATGAAATAAATCTGGCAACCCTAGTCGCAACCCTTGTGCCTCGGCGGCCATCTTGTAAAAAAGGCTGCGAATGGTTTTTATACTACTACTTACTATATCGGGAAAACTATTCCTCGCACAGAAAATTAGTAAATACATTTTTTGTTGCAAATTCAATTCTCTACAACTTCGGTACCGTAACTTTTAGTCATAGAACCAAAAATAACAAAGTTATTAACGAAAATAGATAAAAATTTGGGAACAAATTTTCTTTTGGTTGTTATAACATTTTTTCTGGTCATTTTACAAAAAAAAATCATCAGAGCATTTTGATAGAGCGGTTCTCAAGGAATAATTTCCATTACAAACTTTTTTCAAATTCTATTTATTTATTAGGGTTTTACAGCGATGCGAAACACACTATTCTCCAGTACTAGTAAGTAAATTGGAAGAAAACTTTAAAGGACGCCTCCTATGCCTAATCATTCATATTAATGTATACTTACTTGTACTGGAGAATAGTGTTAAGTTTCGCATGAAACCAAAGTTGTAGAGAATTTAATTTGCAACAAAAAATGTTTTTACAAATTTGCTGTGCGACGAATAGTTTGCCCGATATAATAAGTAGTAGTATAAAAACCATTCGCAGCCCTTTTTACTAGACGGCGGCCGAGTCACAAGAGTTGCGACCCCATAAACATGGATTTAACTTTACACTAACCCCCTTTTAGTTTTGCAGGCGAAGCCCAAAAAAATGTAACATTTCAATGGACTTTTGTTAGTTATAATCGTTTTACTCTTTCAATAACAAAAGATATTTCAGGACTTTGACAACAGATATGCAGGTGTCATATGTTCTACCTGTTCTGTTAAACTTTACTCTGCATTTGGCTTTAAGTCCACTTGTCTCTATGTGGAGGACAAGATTGTTTCTTACGTTAATCCGAAAATATTATTCGTCGACTTAAGGGAAGTATATTTAATGGAATATGACAACAAACAATTAATTAAAATGGAAAATGATCAGAAAATATGTCGATTATGTTTGCAGTTGGTTAACGAAGGCTGTTATGAAGTGAAATTAGAGATGATTCATAGATACATCCCAGAAGTGGTAAATATCCATCTTGCTGATTTTTTAAAGCATATAAATTAATACCAAAATCTTAATAAACTCTTGTTGTAGAATTTTTCCATCACCGATAATCCCATCGTTTGTAGGCAATGTTTTGATTCACTTAGCACTCACCTTACATTCATAAAAACCTGTTTAGATGTTGAAACAAGAATTGATATATGTGATAACAAAATGCCACATTTTGAGCATAGTAATATATTATTGAAAAGCAAAAACGAGGAAATGGAATTAGGAGAGGAACAGAAGTTAGAAGGGTTAGTTAAAACCAAAAAAGAGTTAGAACCGGAAGAAATACTGATTAATAGCAAAGAAAAGTTAGAAGGGGTAGTTAAAATCAAAAAAGAGTTAGATCCGGAAGAAACACTGATTAATACCGACGAAGTCAATGTAAAAAGTGAAGGAAAATGTAGAGGAAGGTGAGGAAATTTAGAGAAATTTAGATATATTAGGTAAATACTGTGCGTGAACGTTTTCTTCGGGAACATATGTTGCCCGAGTGTCACGCCGCTTTTTTTTGAATGCAGATTGTGTAAATTTTGAGAATATGGGGCAATTAAGAATGGAAACTGATGCACCCCTATATTATACTGAAAAGTAGTAGAAAACAGTCCTTTTTTTATTCTAATATATCTTTTTAAAGCAATGGAAGAAAGTAGTAAAATTTCATATCATATTTGGCAAAGTATAAACGAAGACAGTAAAGCAAAAATTAATTGGGATAGGTAAATAATTTGTAAGAAATTAATTTCTAAATATGAAGGTTTTTTGGACTTTTACAAAGAAACGATTATTTCTTCATAGTATTATAGAATTATGCAATTTTTTATATAGTTGTCTTTAAATAAATAAACTGATTAGACTTTATTTCATAGTTTGTTCATCACTTTATTATTTAAAAAGTTATATTGGAATAAAATTATTAAAAAATATTCATTCATGAATAGCATTATCTCCGACTTTTAATTCGCTTGATTTGTAATAGATGTCGCACTAGTAAAAATTTATTTATGAATGGACTCGGGTTATTTTTAACGAACAGCTGTTGTATGTGGTTAATTTGGTATAACCTGATTCTGAATTGGTAGTCATGGTTTCTGTTAATTGATACGTAAATATTTAAAGAATGTCATGATCATTTTAGATATATTTTTGTATAAAAGTATATAAGTAACAGTGCAAGTCCATACTATTATATAATTTTAGAAAATATGAAATATAAACAATTTTTAGTTTATTTAAAACCATAATTTATAATTAATATACCTATATTAGTATCTACGGTTAGTGGATAAGAGGGAAAACATTTTTATTTTCTATTCTACTAGAAAAAGTAATTCGTGACAAAAAATATTTTGCTTTTTAATTGAATATGTTTGTCATGAAAAACTGTAATTTATATATATACAGGGTGATCAGAAATTTAACAAAATTAATAACGTTGAAGAATAAACTGCTTTTGTTTTTGATAATATAAAAAAATGTTAATAAGAAAAGTTGTTCATAACGGAAAGTTATGTTATAATTACGATTTGTGAATAAAGCGGCTTACTTTGGTATAAACAGAAATGGAAAATATTATATTTTTAATAATTAATATTAAGTAATTCTTGATAAAAAAAATTCGCATATTAATATAAATAGAATTTTAATTGTGAATATACATAATAATGAGAAAATATAAAAAATATGTACGATATACTTATTTTGTCCAAAAATTGTGTAAAGAATTATGTACAAAAGGACGATTTGAGACTAAATTTTTTTATGGGAAATAGGTATTCAGTTCACTTCACTTGAAAAAATAGTTGTAGGTACTTTAATACCTCCAATATAAACAGAAATTCTGTGGAACAGTGTAGTTTAATAAATATGTAAATAAACGAAAATAATAAAGAAATAAATAGACTAGGTACAGTAGAACAGGAAAAAAATTTAAAAATCATAAAATAAAATTATTTCTTTTTATTAATTTGTGCTTCTATAATATATTGTGGATCCATACATCCTTTTCCCGGTGGAATATTTTTGTATATTATTTCAGGCAGTATACAATTTTTATAAAATTGTTCCAAATTTGTTGCCATTGATTTTTTCCATAATTCTTCGTCTTTCTTAATTTGTTCTACATAGAGCGGGTTGTTTTCATCACTATAGGTATATTACGAATTAACATATAGACTTCTGGTTATATTTAACTGTCTCTGTATCTGAAAGTAAGAAAAAAATTTTACCAGATAATATTATAAACATAGATAATTATACATTTTTAACTATTATGTTTTTGATTTACCATAATGATATATCTAGTTATATATAGGGTGCAACAATAGTGTGATAAAGTTTAGTAACTGCCTGTAGTAGTGATACGAAAAAAGTTATTTGCTCAGATTCACATTTTATTATTACATATTTCCATTATTCATTATTTTCAGACCGAATTAAATATTCGGAAGATCTTGTTTTTGGCCTGAAGATTTTGCCCTATACAACTATAACTGAATATAATTATAAACTTTGTCACACTATTGGAACAACCTGTATGTGCATTGCAACAACAATGTCATATTTTATATTACGGCTAAGTAAGCGGAAAGTTCATTGTCGCATATGTAATTTTTATTTTCAAATAATCAGATACCTACAAATTTATTTTAATACCTATTATTTACTTGAATTTAATACTAAATACAACTATGCCTAGCAAATTCCAAATTGTAATACTTACTCTGTTAATGTTTTTTCTTTCATTTAAAAAATAATAGTATTTTGCATTTATTATTTTAATAAGTATTTTGCAGCCAACAATAAAAGATAACAGCTCAAAGATCCACACAAGAAATAACTACATTCGTACCTGCTCCGGTCCGAATCCATATAAGTACTATAAAATGTAGAATATAATACGAAATGAAACTTTTAGTTGGTTGCAAATCTTATAAATTTGTACAACACTTGCTATCCTCCTTTTATGTAAATATGTACATAATAATATGTAGAGGATAGAAAATAGAAATATTTTCAGAACAAAAAACCGGCGACCGCAAATTGAAGTTTTTATTATTTATTTACCCTTCTCTTTTCATATGCAATAATGCGATAGCAAGAGAGTGGGATGGACATATAAGCCGGACAACTCATCATCGTGAACGTGCACCTGACGTACTGTCATTTTCTCGTTTTTTTTGTTTTATTTTTGCTGAAATTTGAATGAATGAAATAATCATACTATTTTTACTATCAACGTATTTCCTGTAGCGACATCTATATGAATATTGTAGTACTCTGTTAGATGAAACGGGACTTCAATTTCCGTTCTTAAGAGCATTTTATAGGTAGTATACATAACTTTTTCATTGAAAAATATGTCCCTGAGAAGACTAGTATGAGAATCATCTTTAAAACCGATTATTAAATTAGATATAGAATTTTCAATTCATAATTGACAAAAAATAAAACATAAGCAACAAAAAGCAGTAATGAATATGGTATTATTACTATTACTATAAGATATTTATTCATAACGCCATTATACAGGGTGTTTCTTAATAACATGCTAATATTTAAGGATGTTATTCTTGGGTCCATTTTAAGAAAAAAACTTCATGTGAACATATATCCTAAAAGCCTTAACTTTTGAACTATAGGGTGCTAACGTTTTCAGAAAAAACATTTTTTTGTGATAACTTTTACCCTACATATTTTTTCAAATTTGGTACATGCCTTCTATTCATCGAGATGCATTTTCTGATGTACAAACAATTTTATTATTTTTGCCAGTGGCGTCTGTACTGGTTTTGTATTGAATATTTTTGAATATTTTTTGAATATGTTACGCCAGCATAATTTTCTTTTACCATTCCAAAATGTATGTAGATTACTGTAATTTCATAATTTCAACATTTAAAAGTTATTATCTTAAATAAATTATTATTCAGTTACATAAATCTTTTTTTTTTTCGTAAGTGGTCCAATAAGATGCAAATGAATGAATTTTATTTTTTTATGCAAAAACCGTACGTCAAACGAAAAAAATTCAAGACACCACATTTGCTCAGAAAGGAATGAAGATTTCAGATATGATTTTCACTTTAAGAAAGGGCAGTGGCGTATCTAAGATAGGTAATACCAAAGTTATCATAAAAAAATGTTTTTTCATAAAACTTAGCATTCTGTAGTTCAAAAGTTAATACTTTTAGGACATATGTTCACATGGAGTTTTTTTCTTACCCAAGAATAACCTTAAATTTTAGCACATTATTAAGAAACACCCTGTATATAGAACTATAGACATTTGTATAAATTTTATTTATAAAATTGTTCTGTATCACACATGATAAAACTGCTACAAAAGGGGGATCGTAATACTCGCGATGGTACTGCATCCTGTGAGTCATCTGTCAATACATAATTGTTCTTCAGACACCTAAATATTCAAACGTAATGAATGTGTTTTCGAAACCCCACAAGTTTAAAAAAGTCATGACCTAGGATACTAATCTCATGACTTTGATTTGAAAAGGAACCCTGTTTCTGATTAGGAAATAAAACATGTTTTGGTATCAGTTTTATAAAATATTGGCACATCAAATTAATTTTTTTAATGAGATAAATAATAAAGCATTATTATTAATACACAATTACCATTGCATCAGTATATATAAATAAAAACTATATAGGGTGTGGTATGTATATTGTATAAAAATTAAACTACACCTTCCTAACGATATTTGTAATAGAAAAGTCTTATACGAAAAACTTCTACTTTTGCGTTTTTTTTTTCGTAAATTGAAGTTCAATAATGGATCATAATATTTTCTTGGGGATGGTCCTGTCCGTTGGCTGTACGATTAGTTACATGCTGTAGACCAGCGGCGTAAACAAATCATCGTTGAAAGATAGAAAGATACTTCTCAATTTTTGGGGAATTTTTCAATGCAAAAGTACAAACTAAGAAAAATAGATATTTAAAAAAAAACTGATATTTTCATATTATAATAATTAATAGTAATTACTATCTTAAATACATAGGCCAATCATTATAGCTTTTTTTCGGGAAAAAAATACTATTAGAAGTTTTTCTGCGGAATATTGTTCAGAAACGTGTTATAAACAAAATATCAAAAAATCAACTCGAGACTAGTTGGGAAACTTTGTTAAAACAATGGTCAAAATTATGAA